CTATATCAAATTGTCAAGTTCAGTTTCATATTTATTTAAAATTGGGTAATTAGTTGGTCCCCAGATTATCTTAATCAGCCGTCCAAGTAAAACTATATGCGTTTCCTTTTAAATGTTCATCTTACAGCAGTATCCCATTTGTTATATTGTAGTATGTGTGTATCTCTGCATGATATTCAGTTTTGTGTTTTTGTAAATGTATTTGGATGTTCTTGAGGAAGAACAGATATTTCCTTTCTTCTCTCAGTGACTGTAAGCAAACTCCAAGACAAAATTATTCCAATGCAATATCTTTAATATTGTAAAAACAAACTGCTGCAACATGTACATACATGTTATATTTGAAAATGAATGATAATTGACAAAATATGTATTATAAAATTATATATGTTACAATTTTAAAATATTAAGTTTTTAAAAACATTGTTCCAAAAAAAATTCAAACATGAAGTGTAGTGAAACCCTGGTACCAAATAATTGTTTGAAATATTTACTGGACACCGCCAAGAGGCATGAAGTGAGAAAATTTGAGAGGAATAATGAACAGTGAAGTATATGAAATGTGTAAGTAATTTTCATGACAAATTCCCATGTGTAATAATATAGCTCAAACACAAAGAAATACCTGAATTCACTTTGTATCATACTAACATATTGTAAATAACAATACACGTATATATAAAACATAACTAAAATGTATTATTATGAAAATATGCAAAGTTACTAACATGTAGATTGTGGAATATAATGTTTTGTTAAATGTTTTCGTGAGCATTTATCATTAAAGGTAATATATTTTTGAAAGAAAAGATTACTTAACCATTTCTGAGTCTAATAAATTATACACTTTTGAAATAAGAGTGTTTCAGTACTTGAACATTAAACCGTCTTATTCAGAAGATTATAGTTTATTATCACACACAATTTTGTTTCATAAACCTCTTAGCTCCAAGCATGTTGAACAATTTATATTCCAAATATGCAAATCAGGCAACTTACTAGTATTCTTTGAAATATAATCTTACCTTTCCCCATATTTAATCTGACCTTTTCCAATACTTAATCTTCTATTTTCACTGGACAATTTCTAATCCAATATTTAAATATGTCTAATAAAGAAACTTTACAAACAACTTAAGCAATTTTACAAGAAACCCATAGAAGCCCTGCTCAACCCAACTTTATGTAAGAATTTTTTTTCAAATGATTATAATAAGAAAATTTAAGAAAATTCTAGAGATAAAATTTAGAAATAAAGGATAGAAGATGTATTACAATTCCCTGAAAATTTTTTGAAAAAAACTAGAAAAAACATAACACATATTTCCACTTCTGACATTCTTTTTCTCTTTTTAATTATTAATTTTACTTCTACAGACCTCTAAATGTTCTCTTTTACAAATAATTCTTAAAAGAGAATTCTGCTACAAAACGCTTGATACTAATATTCAATAAGCAATCTGTATAGGACGTTTCTTAACATGTTCATTGGATTCAGCACTGTAGCAATACAGGACAGTGAAAAAAAGATTGTTCGGTTACAAAAGATAAAAGTAATAATTACTACATATTTTAAACTCTGTAATAAAAAATTCAATTGCCAAATATTTCAATGTAAATGAAACTATCACTGTCATAACAATAAAACAATTCATAAATATATTTTGATATTAATATTGACATAAATATGTGTAAATTCTATGCATATTTTGTCCTGACTTGATAACTGATCCTATAAGAAGGATCAAAGGACATGCATGGTCAGGCATGGATCACATGACAAATGTACATATGTAATTTATAGGTGTATATAAAGAATCTTGTCAAGACAATTTTCCCATTGAAATTAAGTTTAGTCATACCTAATGCAATCTTATGTCATAGATTAAAACTGAAGAAGAAAGAATATGAGAGCATCCAACAGGGAAAGAATGAATGATTGTGCAAATAGCATAAGCCTTTCTTCAAAAGCTTTGAAGGCAGATGAAGAAAGAATTCATTTCGGAATACTCTTTATATACCTACGTACCCAAATTTTCTAAACCCAATATAATGTTTGCAGAAATTTCACTAGAAGGATGAAAATTACAGAAATAAGGCAGTAAAGCAACAATCTAGATAAAATCATTAAAAAATCACCAGACTGTACATTTTTGGCACCAATCAAAACAATTTTGCACATTAAAATAACAGTTGTGATTCCCAATGTTCATGCCAATATATAAGCATACCATACCAAACATGTAGTTATGAAACATAAAATGTACGCATTTCAAAATTCCTAGTAATATTATTTGAACTGTTTTTCATATTATTTTTATTCCTCCAATATAACTAGTAATTGACATAATTCTTTATTGGATATCTATTTTTACCAAAGTTAATGTGGACATTCAGAAAAATCCCCAACTACATCTTTGGTAGTCTTGGGGATTAACACCTTCTTGAAGTTCCTACATCTGACCTCGCTATTATCTTCTCAGTCTTCCAATATTTATTTTACAAGGGTAAAGCCATTTATACCTGTGATTTTAGATCGTTTCATTCCTTGTTTCCAATGCAATTTTATTTCTCAAATTCCCCTTTGTAAGTATTTATATTCAATGGATATTATAACTTGATCACTAAAAAACATGAATGAATTAATAAGAAATCAGCTGTTTAGCTTATCAAGAAAATCTAAAATCCAATTAGTAATATCTAATATCTCATATAATCATCGAATTTTAAGTTAAAGAAAACAGGTGATTGGCTGCATTTCTTGCCTGACTCACAAGTTTATTGTTTCAATGAGAAGTTAGCCTCTCTTATCTTCGAAATGATTTTTGTTCCTACACATTTTTTTCAATCTCCACATAATGTTGTAAGATACCTAGTTGATTTAGAATCTGTATGAGCCTTTGCATGGGTGGTTTGATACAGATGTAATAAGAGAAAAACTATGAGAAATTTTTAATGAGAAATCCCAGTGAAAATAAAAAAGGAATTAAAGGTATGCAAGACTTGGTGTCCAAAACACACAACCCATTCAATCTAGATGTCCACAACCAGAACGTGAACTCTCAGTATTCCTTTTATTTTTTATGTTAATGTCATGATCAGAAAACGGAAAGCAAAAATCAATCAAGGAATACAACCAAACCAAAACATTAAATCAAAACTGGTAGAGGTTTAAGCAGGTAGACAGGATTAAGCAATACTGAGAATAACAGAAAATTACCTGCAGAAAGCAGCTCATGAATTAAAATTGCAGAAGAAATAATAATACCAAAGGAAATAGCAAGAACATATAAAGAGAATGAAGATAATTTCCCTTGGAAAGTACTCACTCACAAGCTGAGAGGAAGAAGAAACCCAGAAAGTGCTTTGAAGTCCGGAAATACCTTGCACACAGCTAAGCAAGCGGGAAAAATTAAAAGGAACACGCCAAAAGGCCTAAACTTTGTATGTTCATGATAATGATGAGGTCATAGAACTAAAATATCTGCAAAAATCAACAGAATGGCCTGTTCTGGCAAAGAATTAAAGAGTATACATATAGAAATAAATGGGAAAATAATTTAACTAGTGAAGAAATTAAATTACGAGGGAAACATAATTGGATAAGAAAAAGAAAATGCAAAAATTTGACACAATAAACGGGACAATAAAAAGTACTATGGAAAGGATATATACACAAAAACAAAGCAGAGAATATAGAGTATCAGCAAAGCCAGCATTAATCTATGGATCAAAAACCTAAGCCCTGTGAGAATCAGACAGCTAAGAGATTAGAAGCAGCTCAATTGAGGATTCAAAAGACATATCTGGTTGGAGTAACAAGCTAAATAGACAGAAATGAAGAGATCAAAAAACAATCGAAAGAAAATAACATTTATGGGAAGTGTGAAAATTCTGATGAGGTATTGTTGATGTCATCACATGAAGAAATAAAAGATGACATCTTCATATGTTGACAGAGATGACATCTTTTATTTCTTCATTTATGTGAAGATATAAAGAACACCTGGTCCACTAACCATCAGACCTGTTCACTGAATAGGACCCATTTAAACGTTCGTTATAATAATGATTCCAATTCTTTCCAATTAAAATAAATTTTGTTGTTTTTTCACCTGCAAGACACTTGAGGCTGTTCTCTACATAGCATTCAATAATACTTATCAGTAATGTTGATGCTTCATCTAATAAGTTGTCATTCCTATAATATCATAATTACTTTTACTCATTTCCAACATATTTAAAAACTATGGCATGCTATTATAAGAACTCAAAAATCAAGAAATTTAATTTTGGCTAAAATAACAATTTTTGAATCCTGTCTCACAGATTATTCAGAAAAAAACTCAAACTCTGATATTTCCCCCTCAAGGCCTTATATCAACAGTAACTAGAGTGTTTGGTGGGGGTGACCCACCATTTCCCCCTCTCTCAGATCAGGTACAAGAGTTTTGTGTTGACAACATACATTGTAGAATAATTCTACCTTACATGAAATAGCACACAAGCACTTTGGCAGTTCCACTTAACATAGTGTTAAACAATGATGCACATTACTTATCACACATCAACATAACACTCGTCTGAGAGGCCTCACCAGGCCAGGACCCATAACTTCCTAAGGTAGCCACAGCTCTTCTCAGCTAGTTCTTTAGTTACTACCTAGACACCACATACATCCCTAGTGGAATGATAGAATAGAGTACGATACAGAATTAATGAATGAATGAGCATATCAGTGAATGCATATAGGCAGGGGAAATGGAAGTACCCCAAGAAAATCTGCTGCGAAGCAACTTTATCCACTACAAATTCTATTAGGAGCTGCCTGGGATAGAACCTAGGCACCAATGGCGGGATGCATTCAGTCTGACCACTGTGCCACTGACCAGCAGGCATATTTACATAGTGTTACTTCAAAATTTAATTTTCAAATAATTTCAATTTGTTTCTCTAACCTCGTGTTCTATTGATTTGGGGCTTTGTTAAACATTGTATATAAATTTAAGAATTACATTGGCATGTTCTTCTGGTACCTTCTTTCTAGTTAACAAAATTATCTAATGATTTTTAAACTTTCATTCAATGAAATTTCCATATGAATGTTTCTTCATTTATTTCGAAGGTCTTGTGTTTGGTGCAGGAATTTAAGATAGTCTGGTTTAGATAGCTTTGAAGACATAACAAATATACAGAACTTTATTTACAATACAGTGGCAGTAACTTAACAACACATCATCAAAATGTGTGAAAGAATGCTTAACATTTCTAATCCACTAATAAACACATTCAAATGTCTGGACAAGTTAGGGTCATGAATACTTTAGAATATAAAGAAAATTAAAACCATATTTTTTTATTCTCTTTTTAAGAAATTGATGATCCTGTAATATAGTGTAGTTTTCATTTGTATATGCATCTTAGAAACGAAATTAACAGAATTTTCCTTCTCTATATCAAAATAAATAAAACATCACAATTATGTGAATGTTTAGTGTCACTGCCTCTTCTATTTCTTTTTAATTGATGTACTTGATGATAGTCTTAGAAAATCACAACAATATATGCTGGATATATTGGTATGTTTCTTCTCACACATTTCTATCTTAAATGTCTTCCAATGTCTTTTATATATCACTTTCAGTGAGCACCATCACATTTCGAGTCAGAGATTTGAAGCCTGAAAGGATTCCATTTCACTCTAGAAATACCCAAAAAACATGTCTTATTTAAAAATTATAAACATATATTTACAGTGTTCATGTAAATTGTCAATAAATACCTTAAATTGTTCTTCAATTGCATCACACACCTTTACTAAGTCTTCAAGTCCACGTTGGAGAATGTCAGTAGCTCTTGGTCCTTTTGTTTGTATTCTGAAATGCATTTTGTTCTCTGCTGGGTGTGGCACAGAATAACCACAAAAATCCACTTCAGGACTGATAAAAAAATAAGAAAATATATGATGAGTTTAAAGAGGTGGAAAAGAAGCTCTTATATTATTTCAAATGCATTTTAAACTTACTATCCCATTACAATACTACGCAAAGCATTGCCTAGGGTGTGCCCGTGGTTCTCCAGTACAAATGTACGCGCTTTTTCATCGCTCTTCTTATCACCTGCCAACTAAAAAACATGTAATTTAATACATAACTCTACCTCTTTATGCTAATTAAAAAAGGTGGTGGTGGAGGATGGCTCACCTCTGCTATACTTTTCGTCAGTGCCATTATAATATGACAATTTAGGCAAATACACGATGTAACCCTAACAAAGTCAAAAAAACACTCCGAAAGCCAGAAGTTATTTCATATGAATGTATTACACCTCATCGGCAACCCAAGCATGGGCACCACGAGCATAAGCGATTTGAATTGAGGTTAGAAATTGTCAGAGAATTTCCACGGGACGCACGATGTAAGTCATAATGGTCACGTTGTAAGTCAAGATTTAATACTCGTTGGTGTAAGTAGTTTTTACACAGTGAAGGGATCTCATGTTCGTGCGTCAAAGAGTTGTAAAGCCAATAGTACCACGTGTGCTATTATAGCAGCGGGCGTTTAAATCGTTTAAATAGAGTGGATCTTTGGATATAAATTTTAGCCGTGAAGATCTCGTCAATAGTATACGTACACTGTGATCTGTGATTCAGACTCGCGGTGGAAAATATTCCGAACATAGTCTTCGTGATTTTAGCATTGAAAGGATTTATTTTCAAACTTTTGATTACAAATTTTATTTTGATTCACAGACATAAAATTTCAACTTTAAAATTATCACCAATCTTTCATATTATTTAATACGATTATTCCACTCGTGAAATTAAAACCAATAATGTATAACTATTCATAAAAAAAATTTCGAAATATAAATCAGAGCAGAGTATCTTAAAAAATTATGTGTTTTTTTCTATCCGATTTTTCTTACCGCTCTTCCCTGCTGCCATTAATAATCTGCGATCTCAGGAGTCGGTATGTATCGATAGCTGTGATGACGTCCAAACCACGAATGTACTAAGTAGGCTATAATATTATAACCTCCTTGATTTTAACATGCTTTCAGTTGTTTTCAATATTTGGTGCATTTTGGAAGTCTGTTGAACGTAATTTCATTCTTGGAATGCTGTATAATACAATTCGTAACTTGGAAATTCTCAGATAAATCCTCGCATCGCATCGCGAGTCAGGGATTTATATACAATTTTCAAACCACTCTTTCAAGCACTTTCAGGCAGTATTTCCTATCTTTATATTACGCTTTCATTATGAGTAGGCATCGTCCGTAAATTACGTAACGTTAAAGAGGGGGAGGGGGACTGAGGCAGTGTTACGCTGCGTTTCGGGGTAGGGGGTATTAGTTAAGTGTTACGTAACATGGATACAATATATATAGTATATAATATATATATATATATATATATATATATATATATATATATATAAAATAATTCCTTTTTTGAGTCCTGTACTAAAGCATCAAAATATTTATTAATTAATTTGTTTTAAAATCAAAAATAAACCGAAGTTGTTAGTTGTAAATTGGTACGAAAAATGGAGATATATTTCCAACTTTTTTCTAATCTGTAAGATTATGACGGAAATATTCAAAACTGATATGAATCCATTTAAATTGGCGCTGTAGACACTCGCTCTTGCATCTTCCACGACAGTGTGCATAGCTTGTGATCAACCAATTCTCGCCCAAACAATCTTCCTTCACTCACAACTTGCCACAACCTTGTTAAGTGCAACCAGCATGGCAAACTAATTTCTACTTTAGTTATCATTAATTACTTTAATTTACAACACAAGTGTGATAAATCTAAATTGTTCTTACTGTGCTATAATTTATTTTCACTTCTTGCATTAAGTGGGGGGGGGGGAGTCACAAGCGTTACGTAATTATTTGGGGGAGTTCAAGTGCGCTTTACGGTTGCGTTACAACGGGGATATGGGGTATTGAAACTACTTCAAATTTGCGTCACGTAATTTATGGACGGCCCCTTATGCTGATTTTTGCTTTTGGACAGGACAAATCCAAATTTGATATTCTTCTCAGAAAGTTATTTCAAACAATACTATTGATTAATACTATAATTAAACAAAACTATCTTTTTATAGTAATTAATTGTGCATATAGGAATTCAGTAACAAGAGGTAAGACACACAAAAGAACTACATTACTATTTTACAGTTTCTGTTTGTACACGAGTATCGAAGATTTTTTAACGCAGCACCACCTGTCAAGCTTCACCGCCGGACGTAAGGAGTCGTCCATAAATTACGTAACGATAAAGAGGGAAGAAGGGGGTTTGAGGCAGCGTTACATATGGACAGGGGGTATTCGATTAGTGTTACGTAGCATTGATATTTTTTAACATACGTTGAAATATTTCCTTTTTACTTTCTCGCGTCACACTAGAGAGAAAATCATATAATGCTGTGAGAGGAAACAGCGTATTTCTGACAGAAAAAACTTATTACAAGACCCTGGTAACGAAAATGTGGATAAATCCAGTTGCTAAATTTAGGGGGGAAATTCTCTATCGCATGATGTTGCCAGAATCCATGTTTTGTGGGTTCTTCATATCGAAAAATTGAATGACGGCAAAACGTCTGACCGTCTGTGAGATTAACATGCAAGAGTTCTCGCACGTGTACACTAGTAGTTAGTTTATTTTTGTTTGAATTAATAAAAATTTTCCTTTATTTACGTTGTACTTTTTTTCTTAATTTTTTTGCCCTCCTTTTCATTAAAAAAGAATTGGTCACATTAATAAAACATTGTTATTAAAGATGAATGTGTACAGATAATTATAAGATAACTTTATAATTGTCATTAAGTAATACAACATCTAATCATTAATCATTTGGAACACAAACCACAGTTTTGTAAAATAAGTAATCTGAATGTTGCAAACGTTTGACCCCTGCTGAATGCTACAAATCAAGAATTGGAGTGTTGCATCATTCCCTCATGAAGGTTGCAATTCAAGAACTGAAACGTAGTGCAATTTCAAGATTACTTAATTTTTCGACTGTTCAGGAGCCAAATACATACTTTTTTTGTTAAACATTTATGGGCGATTTTTGTAGCCTAAACTTAACAAAAGAGCATTTACTATCTCCCAAATTTTATTGTCTTTTCATAAACGAACAATTCATGATTAGGTTTTCTTTAATATGCAATGAATTGGTTATCGTTCCAAATTCATTGTTCTTAACCTTGAACCTGATTTGATTGCATTTACATAATCTTGTTTTAGACTGATTTTATTCCCATAGTTACAGCAACTTTCACAATCATTTCTATAATTACTTATTTTTATGATGCAAACATCCATTGTAAGATTAATAAGTATTATTTTTAAGTGTTTTTATTGATGTTAACGTTATCTAAGTTGCATTACTTCGTAAGAATGATTCATTTAATAATGATTTTGAGAAAAAAGAAAGTATATTAATGTTTGGTAATTGAAGTAACATATTAAACCAGAAAATGCATCAGATAACCACCAGAGTTTTCTTCTCTTTTGATTTCTATGTTTACAAAATGTGAAGCCATTTTTTTGAATGCTTCGTAAAAAAATTCGTTTTTGACTCGCAGAGCCTTGCATTCGCCAAGATCGATCGGGGAATATCAATTTAGGAAACAATCACCTGAACGGCTTAGGTGCTAGCGTTGATCACAGACTTCTTTTTTCGTCAATTTTTCAGTATCAAAATTAGTCAGTACCACGCCCATACTATACGAGTTCTTCTGTTGAAAAACCGCCGAAACAAATCTCTTATGGGAAAGTAAAAAGGGACTAAACAATCATAGAAAACTGTCATCAAAGTAAGATGTTTTCAAAATCTGCTTCCCGGATTTCCACGGGTTCGCTCCTACAATTTGCGCAGTTTTGCTTTTTAATCCTTTTATGGTCGTGTATTTCATTATCGTAATCATTCATTCACGGGGGGGGGGGGTTCTTAGTTGTATACTCTGTCTACTGTATTTGCACCTAGTTTACGTCACATAAATGTGAAAGTGTTGTTCACATTCATACCGACGGGTCGGGGATAAATGTAATTACTATAGTAATTACTATAGTTTGCACGAGAAGGTTATTTGTTTTCTGGAAATTAGTTATTGTTTTATTGAATCCCCAACAGAGGTACGACTAATATATAAAAATTAATGGATATTGTAAAGTAGACTAAACATTAGTAGGATTTACAGAAGAGAAAAAAATATATTTGCACCAATGGACCTTATAAAGAAACCAAAGAAATAATTCAGAGTAACAGAAAAAGGCACATCCTTCAATTGAACTATTTACACAATAAAATTATTAATGGAAAAATTAATTCTGATTAAGTTTGAAAAAGTTTGGGCATCTACGTCTGTTTGCTCAGTGGCAAGTAGGGGTTCAATAAAACCAGAGGCGCACCCAACGTTTCTTTTCGGTGGGGTGGGGCTACCGGTTCTATGTTAAGATATGTTGAATTTTAAATGATGATTTATAGTTAATATTTATAATGAACAATTAATATATTGAATGACTTTCGTTAGTAATGAACATTAGTAAAAGCTGTATGATTTAATAAGTATCACGAGCTTCTGGGTGAGGGGGATTTAGTCCCCTGAGCCTCCCCCCCGGGATGTGCCAGTGAATTAAACATGTTCTATTTTTTAATAGGAATTTCATTCCTCTATTTAGTTTAAGAAAGACATTGTCTTCTTACAGACTCATTGACCAAAAAACACCATCGATCTTTGCTCATAGTTCCAAGGCGCGAACCAAGGACCGCTAGCTATCTATAAGGCTCGAGATGTCTGTGGCGAAGTTTCTTCGGCAGCTGTGGCGCTAACCGAAGTCAGCACGCCCAATTTCTTCTCTTCCGAGTTCCCCCTCTCTCTCTCTCCCTCTCTCTCCCTCTCTCTCCCTCTCTCTCCCTCTCTCCCTC